GTTTACTTGCGGGTAAAGCTATTCTCCGTTGGAAGTTGGAATGGCACCTTTTTCACAAATCTGCCCTCGGATGGCTGACAAAAGGTATGCCATTCTCCTCTAAATTTTGTCCGCGGGTGGCTCACAAAAGGATGGCGCCCTTTGAATTCCTCATTCCTCCTTGCCATCTTTACCTTCGGGTGGCTCATAAAAGGTCTACACCGTTGGTTTGGCACCTTCCTCCCCTAAACATTTCCCAGGTGGGTCGGAAAGGTATACAGCGTTAGGATGGCACCTTCCTCGGACCGGCCACCGGCCACATTTTTTGACCACGCGTCCACAAAAAAAACTAGGCAAGGCGGCCCAGGTTTCGTTAATGAAATATATTCAGGTCGGTGGCTCTCAGAGAGAGGTGCGTATATTGAATTCTTTTGTATTTGGACCCTTTCGTACATGGCTTACAAGATGCGTAGTTATGGACCCTTTGAGAGATGCGTCGTCATGTGTTACTTGCACGTTGCAAGCGTTGTTGGATCTTTTTTTCGATCCCCTTCGAATTGTACATTTTCAAGTGGGTCGAAAAACGAACGATTATGCACAACAGGATTTACAATGTGTATCGAAAAATAGGCCTTAAAATGATTTGGACACCCTCAAAATTTGTTTAGATATGTTGGGATAATGTTTCAAATTGAAAAACACTCCTTGAAATTGTGCATGTTCAGGGAACCCACATGATATCCAACAAACAATTTCAAGCGGGCCGAAAAAAGTGCAAACAAATAGAGTAGACAATTCAACGTACATGACTGACGCGTATAGTAGAGATGATCGCAGCATGAAGTGGGTGAACCGTCCGTATACAAGTAGTTCCCGGGCAAGGCGGCGGCGGAAGTTTCCTATAAGAACAAATTGACCTATAGGAGTGTCCACGTTCTCTCCAACATGCGCGTCCTCCAGTCAAACGCACGCGCTCCGGACTTTTGACCCACGGGATTCCACGTGTGTAAGGTGTGTGCCCCCTGCAGGATCAGCAGCTCACAACAGCGTACTGGGTTGTATCTTTGCCACGACAAGAGGGGTGTATGACGAGTGGTGTATGATGAGTGGTGTATGCTGAGTGGTGTATGATGAGTGGTGTACTGACCAGCAGTTGAATGTCCTGTCCTGCATAAATGCAACCAAATACTATCAGTATGAACTGTGCCAAACCTGCACGCCGCGAGAGATGACTCAGCAGCGAGAGATGACTCAGCCGCGAGAGATGGCTATAGCGAGAGCTGACTCAGTCGCGAGAGATGACTCACAGCAGCGAGAGCTGACTCCTCCGCGTACTACACTTGTACTACAAAGTGGCCAGTTCTCAGCTTCCAGCTCCACAGGTTGTTCCGCGTGTAAAGTTGTACTAGAAAGTCGCCAGTCAGTTCTCATCTTCCAGCTCACCAGACGCTCCGCGTACTGCAGTTGTACTACACAGTCGCCAGTTCTCAGCTTCTAGCTGCACAGATTGCTCCGCGTACTAAAGTTGTACTACAAAGTCGCCAGTTCTCAGC